TTATATATATATATATATATAATTACAATTATATATATATATTTAATCAATATCAGTCTACGTGTATTTTGATAATATATATGTAATTATATATATATTAATATTAAAATACACTTAGACAGTGTATGTGTATGTATTTGTATGTGTGTGTATATATATATATATATATATATATATACACACACATACACACACAAGTATATATAATTTTATTTTAAACTGTTTTAAACTTTATTTTAAATTTTTACAGGCAGCAGGGGGACTACCTGTAACTACAGGCACTCCCCCCGCTGGCACTGCTGCGGACGGCTATGCCGTCCATGTGATCGTTAGGTCCTCGCAAGGACCTCGCGATCACATGGCCCAGGAGGGCCACAACGGCACCCGGGGGACTCCCTGGGATGCCAGGTAAGTCCCCCCACCACAATCGACAGCGAGCGAGTAAGTACATAGGACGGCGGGGACGTGTTATGCCACCCGCCGGCGTTTAGAGCCAGGTCCCCACGCCCGCCGTCCTTAAGGGGTTAAATATATATATAAAGAAATAGCTGAACTGAAAAAGTTTTGTTTCGCAGGCCTTGAAATTCACTTTGAATTCTCACTTTAATAAATAACTCTGTGTGAGACTGGGTTCAACCCCACTTTTACCAGCCAGTGCTAAACCTCCAAATTGATCATGTATGTGTAATCTCTCTGTTGGTTAAGGGGCAACGGCAGATTGATGAACATAGGACTGGACTGGCATACCTAATACCATTGCTACTTTGAAAGCTTTGTGACAGAAACTTTAGTAAGCTGCAGGTCTACACTTATGTCACTTTCCAGACTGGTAAATATCACAGATCCTTTAAAAGAAATACAAGAATAAATATGTATCTTGTTTACATTGGTTTTTGCATGTATCAAAAAATTTAACCGATTGTTTAATTGTAAAAATAAGAGAAAATAGTTACATGCGCACGACCCCAAATCCTTATGCATATTTATACCATTTGTCTAAATGTGCACAGATATTTGGGTTAGTGCGCAGGTAACTCTTTTCTTAGCTTTTTATTGTATGTATTGGGGCTGATGTATACTTTGATCATTGCTGCCGTTCAGGAGTAATGGGAGTCTGAGCGCGGGACTTATTTTTGTGTGATTGTTTAATTGTGTCAACAGACAGGAAAAAAATAGAATTTTAGGAAGCGCAACTTTGACATTCTAAGGTCTTCTATGATTTCAATTACAGGAACATACTGTTCACAGAAAAAAAGGTAGTGGAACACCCTTGGATACCAATACAGAAATATGCTTATCTAAATCAAAAGAACACAATTTACCTCAACATAGTAGCAAATTATTTGTCTGTGTTAATGCATTTGTAAGTAATTTGTGGTCTATGCAATTGATAGCAATTTAAACGGAAACTCTACTATTTTGGCATGATATCCATTTTAAAACACTTCTACCACTTTCTCCATTTGATATTGAAGTATTAATATACTATAATATACAACCAAAATATCAAATTTAATCAACAATTGTCACAAGAATTAAATCGATTTATTTCATATGGGCTAAACACAATTTAATCACCATAGATTTAACAAAGGGAAATGTCCTGCTGGGATTTGGCAACATACTTATATCTTCCTTCACCGACACAGAATAGGAAACACACACAAGAGATTATTTGCATAGCCACAGCGTAAACTATGGTAACATTAGAACTTTTAGAGCTAATTCTTCATTGAAACATCTCTTTTGCACAGTAAGTTATTTAATTTTATTATTTAATTATTTTAGTTATTTAATTATTTAATGAGTTATCAGGCATAGTGATGGATTCACCTAGCAGAGAAAAAATTTACTCTGTTTATTGAATAGCAATTCCACCCCTAATGTCTATGGAAAATGTACTATTCAGTAAGTAGAGTAAACCCTTATTCTACTATGAGAATCCATTGTCCTTGTTGAAAAAACATGAGCATTAAGCATGATGGTGCCAATATAAAGTGTCTGCATATTTACTTTGTCTGAGGGGAAAACTTTCTGGAGCAAAAGTCATTAAATTCTATTTTAAAATGCCCCTGTATGTTTACAGTTATTTTGGGAAATGAAAATAGAATCTCTCACAATATTAGTTATGATTTGCAATTCTGCAATTCTTACAAACAAAACATTTTAAGATATGTGCTGTTTTGTCCTCTGTAAAAAACCTACAAGCTATATGGCTCGTTGTGGCTGATTCGGTATCTCACGGTAACGTAGTGAGAGACACTAATATTTTTTGCAACCTGGAGATGAGACTGTATTCCAGACGTATTTTAATATCTAGAAAAAAGTGTATTACACCCACATCAAATATTTCATTTAAAGGTACACGGTCTCTAGACCACATGCCGGCCAAGCAAGATATAGAAATACGAATGTGGAGGACTCTGTTTTCCCTAGAAATAATCAATTTATTGGCAACATGAACGTTAAGTAATTTGTTTACAGCCTCCAGTCTTTCTTATTATAAAACTTGATAAACACAGGATACTGTCAACAAATTGCTTAGCATTTGTGCTGCCAAAATAGCCAAACTCAAAACCGAATGTACTTGGAGATTTTTTCTATCTCTAATTAGGGTAGTGTGGATTAAGTTTTAAAATTCACTTTGGATGCCCAGAAATGCACACGTTTAGTGAGTAAGTTCACAGGCTATTTAACGAGGCACAATGTATAAAAGATCTTCAATGGCCAGATCTCAGCTCAGACACAGAGCCATCCTTACCTGTTGTGTTAGTCTGTGTATATTGTACTGTTTTGTTGTTGTTTTTCTCCAGTTGTACAGCGCTGCAGAATATGTTGGCGAAAACAAGAAAAAAAATTTACTAGAAGTTTGATGTGATTTTTATGAGACGGTATAGTCCCCCTTTAGAGATAAGTGAGCCTTAAATGACTTGAAACTGATGAAAAAAAATTATACTTTTTGTGTGTTCGTTCTTTGAAAGAAACTGAAAAGCCACAAATAAAAAAACAGAAAACCTATATTGACTATAAAGGAAGACATAACACTGTGTTTATTATATTTTCTTCTGTCAATGTGTTATTACACTTTTAAATTTATTTCAAACAGGAGGCTCATATAATGTTATTTAAATGTAAGTACTGATATAACAAGACAAAGCAATGCTGTCATAATGTAACATTCACCAAAAGGTGCTTATTTCTGTATGTGGACAATCCCTCCTATTTCTTTGCTGATCCCTTAGTGATAGGTACCTGTGTTATATTGTGTCTATTTTTCCTGATAATAAACTGTTGTGATTTGTTTCATAGCAGTTGTCTCATTGGTTTGTGCTATCAGTTTAATTGATCCATTCATTTCTTTATTTATGAAAACATTTTCAAATAGTACAACGGTGGAACATTTGGGAGAAGCACCACCACCAACTGAGTATAAATGGTTCCTTCGTTGACAAAATACAATGGGCTCATTTACAACCTTGGTGATACTTTTAGCCAGTTGGATGCCAATAACATCTGCATGCAGTTTCTAAAAAAATATATATATATATATTTTAAAAAGGGGTTTGCACTCCAGGTAGTGTCAATGTTCTCTATGCCTGGTGCTGTAAAAACTTGTCCTGATGAAAGTCCCCTTGGTGGCACTGAAACGTCGACCATTCTTTTTATGATGAATCAATAAAATGTAAGTATTACTTTTTTCAAGTACCGTGAGTTATGTATTGATATATGTGTGTATATATATATATATATATATATATATATATATATATATATATATATATATATATACACGTTTTATATATCATGTATCCAGCCTTTTCTTTAACTGTATGGCTGTTTGATATGCACTTTAGGATTTCAGTCTAATGCCGTAGAGCAAACATATATATTTCCCTTAGGATGTATAAGGCAATAGTTGTTGTGAACTTATTTTGCAGCAGGTCAGAGGCTGATGTTAAGTTGTTATGGTTTGTAGCAGCCGGTAACAAGTAGCACCAGAATTGGAAACTAGTCGGAAGCTAGACTCTAAGTAGCAGTTACCATAGAACATAAAGTTGATAAACAGTTGCTACTCACTACCATTAGCGGCAGAAATTATAACAATGGCTGGTCACTGAAACGCAGCGACAAAGTTGTAAACAAGTCCATTGGGCCCATCTAAATGTACATAAGATACATGTAATGTAAGATAAAAACATCTATTTGAAATAAAATCAGATAGATTAATAACCAACCTGTTTAATATTTTTACACATTTCCAAACCAGCTATATTTTTATAAACATTCAGGGTTTTTTTTTTAACTTCATGAAAATAATTAATATTTATTATAATAACTATCCACATAATATCTGTTGTGCTTCCTCCACGTTGGCATCAAATAATAAAATGTAAAAAAAAAAAAAAAAACAGTTTGTTAAATTGCAAAAAAGTAATTTGAAAACTGAGTAACCAAATTCAGGTTAATGTACCAGATTTTAAATTTATTGCTTTCACAGTTTAGTGAATTTCAATTCACCACCTTCACTGTTAAGTAAAGGAACCCCTCCACGCATCGATACATAATTGTTTGTTAAAAAAAAACTGGTCAAACACACCCCTTATAGACTAAACCAGAGACCTTTATTCCAGATCTCAGGAATAATAGCCTACTTTATTGATTGATAAACTGGCTCATTTTTTTATCGCAGGTGGATTCAAAGAAGCCAATAGGCATGCAAAACAAAACACATTCAGCTGAATTTATCTTCCAAGCGTTTTCAAACACCAGATTTTTATCATTGCTTTTCATCGTTTTCCTGCTAATTTATTTGCTAATACTTCTGGGGAATGCTTTACTGATTCTGATTATACAAGTTGACTCACGTTTACATACACCCATGTACTTTTTCATCAGTTTCCTGTCTGTATTGGATATCTGTTACACTTCCACTGTGGTACCCCAGACTCTTGTCAATCTGATGAATACTCGACATTCTATCTCCTTTCCACGGTGCATAGCTCAAATGTTCTGCATTGTCGCCTTTGGAGCTGCTCAGATAATCCTGATCACCGTAATGGCTTATGATCGCTATGTTGCCATAAATAACCCTCTCCGTTACAAAGCTGTGATGAGTTGGGCGATCTGTAAGATGTTCCTTACTATTACATTAATATTTAGTTGTGCCATGGCCTTTTTAATGGTATTTTCTGTATTTACTCTCCCGTTTTGTGATGAATTAGAAATCGATCACTTCTTCTGCGAGGTTGGGCAAGTGTTACGTTTGACTTGTCCTAGTATACAGGTCCATGAGCTGGTAGAGATTGTAATCTTTGCCATTGTGCTTGGATTCTTCAGCACCAACTTTCTACTCGTCATTACGTCCTATGTATACATAATCTCTGCTATACTGAAAATAAGCACAAGTGGGGGTCGTCACAAAGCCTTCTCCACTTGCTCATCCCATATCAACGTTGTAACAATTGAATATGCCTGTCTAGGATTTCTTTATTTGCGTCCTAAAACAGCCTACTCAATAGATAAAGACAGAGTTTTTGTAGTGATTTTTACATTTGGAACACCTATATTAAATCCTCTCATCTACAGTGTGCGGAATGCTGCGGTAAAGACCGGATTTAAGAAACTTATTGAAAGTAAGATAAATTATCACATGACTAGTTAACATATACTCTGACATAGTTAGTAATGCAAAATATGTAAACAAGTCCCCCTACCAGGTATGTGTTTTTCTATGCAATATGTTGCCTGCCATTTGTTTCACTCAAGTGTAATAATTGCAACCCTCATGCCCCAAATCTTCCATTGGCCCAAAAGGAATTGTGGCTTAAAATAAATGCCACACACTTAACTAGAAATTCAGTTTGGTTATTCTTGAGATCTGAGTAGATTGCCAGTATTGCAGAGCCACTGTTTAGAGCACAGTGAACTTTCATTTGCAACAATGATAGGATAGAGACTGTGTTACCAGTAAGCTTTTACCTCTCAATTCACCATTGATATTACCCCTCAGTGCAGGGCAGTGGTGTATTTTGGATTTGTGCTGCCCTAGGCAGGACGGTGCTCGGGCACCCCACCCTAATTTAAATTTCCCCCACCCCTTCCTGTCAAGGCCACACTGACTGACAGATGCTCACTCACTGACAGACGCTCACTCACTGACAGACACACACTCTCATATACACACACACACACACATTTCCCCCAAAACTCACAAATTATTATTATTTTTTTAATTTTAATTTAAATCCACCCAGCCTCCCTGGGAGAGCTGGAGTGGATTACTTACCTGTGGTCCAGTGGGGCTGCTGGGCGGGCAGGCAGGGGACGGACAGGCAGAGAAGGCGGCGAGGGAGCTCTAATTTTCCTGCTCAGCATCCCTGCGTGCCGCTTAGTGATGCCGGGAACTGAAGTGACGTCATATTCCGGCTTCCGGCTTCATTAAGCGGTGCGTGCCTGCCTCAGTGGGGTTCAAAAGTGGCCAGCTCTTGAGCCCCCCAGGACATGAGACAAACAAGGGATCTGCCTGGGCGTTTGGGGCAGGTTTTTTTTGCTGAACCCAGCAAAGTGCCGCCCAAGGCAAATGCCTTGTTTGCCTCGCAATAGATACATCACTGGTGCAGGGCCATAATAAGAGCCCAGTGGGCCTGGTGCTGACAATTATGATAGACCTAATTATAGAATCGTATCCACAGGAAACACTAAAACACTCATACCTCCCAAGCGTCATGTACATGGCGGAGGTGGTGATGGAGGGAAACTCGCAGGAAAAAGAAAACACATAAGATATGCTAATCTCTCACTTTCATTTTTCAAGTAAATCAATACCTTCTAACAGCAGTGTCCGGTGAAGCAGGATTTCGGTAGGCGGCGTAAAAGGGTGGGCCACTGATGCAAATCATGTAACCAGAACCGCCCCAAGGGGCAATCATGCCCAAACAAATCTGCCCGCCAATCATGCAGGCTGGCCAACTAAGGGCATACTGTACAGACAGCACCCTGAGCTTGGCATAAATTCATCTAATATTGTGCTCGCTCCACGCTTTCTAAGGACTGTCCCCTAGCACTCACTTATCTACTCCTTTCCTTCCTTCTTACTAGCAGGCAGAAGCCCCTGTTATACAGTCTGGGACAGAGAAAATGTGTATGTAGTGAGTGTAGAAGAACGGGAACATGTCACAGAGTTAGAGAGACTGAAACAGTAAAGTCAGCTTTACATTAATTAATTTCATTGTCAGCCAGTCCACTCAAGTTTTGTTTCCCACACTCTTTCATTTATCCTACCCCGCCCCCCCACTTCCCCCTTTTTTTTTCTCTCCCTTGATATTTGCTCCTGATACCACACATGATTTTTATCCTAAGGTTTTTGGTGGCCTTATTATACCATTTTTAGAGCAATATTTAGTAGATACCTCCCATAGTTTACATTTGTCACCTAAGAGCAAGGGAATTTTTTCTTCTATACCCCGTACTAAGATTTAGTCTATTACTGACATTCAGTGTCTCAACCCTCTGCATGGTGACACTGAACTTTCTGCATAGAGATGCGTTGATTCAATTCATCAATATGATCAGCAATATGAAGAGATGTTGTTTGTCCAGGGCTGTGTTTGGCTTGTGCTGGCTCTGCCCCTGATCTGCCTGCTTGACAAGCTCGGCTAATCCAATGTTTTCCTATGGGAAAGCATTGTAATAGGCTGAGATCAATCACTTCTGATGATGTCAGCCAAGGAGATCATAAGCAGAGCCAGCACCAGCAGACTGGAATAAATGTAAGATTTTACTATATTTAAGGTGGTCAAAGAGGAGGGGGCAGATGGTGTTTTTAATACTATAGGTTTAGGAAAACGTTTGTGTTTTTGACCCTAAAGTGTTTCTTTAAGATGTATTGTATCCAGAATTCTCTCATATATTTGTATTTATTTGCAGCGATCATATAGTACTATAAGTTCCACCTTGAACTTCACATCCAAATAAAAAACAGAACAGAAGTCAGATTTCTATGAATGTGATTTGTGAATGTGATTTCTTACTTTATGATTTGTGTAGACATCTTGTTAAGGAAGTCTTTCCATCCTATATTTTCGCTTTAAATTGTGTTGTTCTCTAAATTCAAATGAAATTGGGTGTATAATGAGTGTTATGTAAAATTTTATTATTTTATGCTACATCTACAGTTGTGCTCAAAAGTTTGCATACCCTGGCAGAAATTCTGAAATTTTGGCATTGATTTTGAATATATGACTGATCATGCAAAAAAAAAAAAAGTATTTTCTGCTCTGGGGGAGGCCGTCGGTACGTGATGACGTAAGACGCCACATGTGCTGGAGGTGGGCGTGTCCGGAGTGGAGATGGTGAGAGCGACCGCGGAGACGAGCTAACCACGCCGCTCCATGATTGCATTTTGGCTGGGGGTTGGTGAACGAGTTGAGTGGAGTGGAGTGGAGAATTGAAGCGGCTAGCGTGCGACAATTCAGCGGTACTCGATGCCCGGGAAGCATACTGATATATTGAAGCTTTGGTGAGGACGAGAGGGGCTGGGTGTTTATTTCCCCTGAGCAGGGAATAAAAGGGGTCTCCTCTTTTCGAATAAACAAGAAGAAAAACACAAAGAGAAAAGAAAAGGGAAAGAGGAAGGAGGAAAAAAAAAAAAGATTTACAAGAATAAAAGAAACTTCAGTAATCTCCAAAAAAAAAAAACAGAACTGTAAGTATTTTCGAAAATATTGCAATATACTAATATATCTGTATATAAACATTGGCTAGAGATAAAATCTCTATAGCACAAAAAAAGGAGATTACCATATACAATTATTGAAAATAAAAGTTATATATAAGCTAAATCATTTAATTAAATAAGCAAAAAATAAAATCGCAACTAGAAAAACAACTATGGAAAAGAAGAAAGAAATTAAATCAGCACAACAAACAGAAAAGAGGCTGTCTGGCTTTTTTATAACCCCCATTAAAGATGTGCAAGATCAGAAAATTGAATGTATGACACACCCGGCTAATACCTCCAATACTAATTTGGAAGTCCCAATTGTACAATCTCCACTACAATCTCAAGCAATTGCTTCAATTAGCACACAAGATCAGCTCAAGCAATTATTAGAGCTACAACTTAATATATTAAAACAAGATATGCATGTAAGCTTCAATGATATTAAACAAGATATTAAAAATGTGGCAGTATCAGTGGTAGAAGTGGAAAAAAAACTTGAAGTATTTGGAACCCAAATAAAAGTAATTAAGACAGAAATGCAGGCTTTAACAAATAAAGCCGACAATCTTGAAAAACAAAATGGCAGCTTTGGAAGACAGATCAAGAAAAAACAATATAAGAATAAGAATAATAAAAACTAAAGGAATATCTAAGCAACTTATTTAATGAAATTCTACCTGAAATGCCTTCAGACGACCATCAAATAGTAAATTTTCATCGAATTTATAAACCTAACACAATTGCCTCACATCTCCCATGAGATGTGATAGTAAGTTTTTCTTCATTCTCAATGAGAGACAATCTAATGAAAACCAGCCGTATTAAACCCCGAATTAACTTTATTTATAAAGATATAATTTTTTTGCAAGACTTATCTTATTTTACTAGGTCTTGGAGAAAATCCTTCTCTGCCGTGACAGACTTTTTTTTTAAGAAAAAATGAGATCAGATTCCAATGGAGCCTTCCAGCATCCTTAAAGTTTATTTGGAAACAAGAAAAGAAACTTTTTTTGGACGCAAATGAAGCAAATAGTTGGTTAACTAGCATTAAAGAAGAAAGATAAAAGGACTGTTGCGACAGAAGATAAAAAGCAAAAGAAGAAAGGAAAAAGGGAAACTTTTTTTTTTTCCTCCCCTCTCTTCATGACAAAGACATCTCTAAATATAACTAAGTAGCAATTTTGGTTTGAAGGTGTCACTTGGAAATTTTATTTGGATAGCTCATAAGCTTTAACTAATATAGTAGATTTTATTTGTAATTTTCACTTGTATGGTTCACAAACATTCACTATTATAGAAAAGTCTGTACAAGAGTAACTCTTTTTTTAGAAAATTATAGTATTAAAGGGATATAAAAGTCAGATGGAAAAAATAGATTTAAAATTCATAATAATAGTTTAATGAACACTATGTGCACAGAATTAAAAAGATTAAATTAATTCACATTTCAGCAGTAGTTAATAGGATTGAATATACTAGTATTTGAATAACACGAAGGATAATGAGAGAATTGTTTACAAATTTGTTGGAATAAGTATAGAAATTATCTTAAGAAGAAATATGTTTATTGGGAAAAAGAGGAGGAGGGGGAAAAGGGAAGATGGAAAGTAAGATATATAAAAAAAAAAAAAAAAGGAAAAAGTCTACTTTTTTTGGGGAGGGGGGGTAAACGTGTAAATAATATTATCTCTCTCCGGTCACGCCTACTTAGTGTCTGATTTAAAGACACAATAAAGACTGATTTTTCTAAATGAAAATGTATAGTCTTTGTGCTAAGAAGGGAGGATTTCCTCCAATGATTTTAACTTTATGTTATTGGTGTTGTCATGTATATGTTTTTGCAGCAATAGGGAAGGATAATAGCGATTATGAGGTGGATGGAGATGTGGAGGTGCCTTGGGAAGTGACATGATAAAAATGCTGACACTCAATGTTCAAGGTATGAATACTATAGCAAAAAGAGCTCTATTATATAGATATTTGATTGAAAAGCAATTAAATTTAATATTTTTACAAGAAACTCACTGGAGGCAAACAGATAAACAGACTTGGGGAGGCAAAAGATTTCCGCTTATAATTCAAGCCTCTAATAAGGATAAAAAAAAAATGCGGAGTAGCTGTTATATTTGGAGAAAAAAATCAAGGTTGAAATTATTCACCAGATACAAGATATTAAATGCAGATATTTGATAATAATATGTAAAATTGATTCCACACTTTTTACATTATGTAATATATACCTTCCAAATTATTCACCGGTTTCCTATTTAAAAACAATACTGGAAAAAGTAGATGAAATTAAAGTGGGAAAGTTAATATTAGAAGGGGATTTCAATGCTGTACTAGACCCACAGATAGACAAAAAACTAATGAAAGGAAACAAGTTAAATCAAACGGTGATAAAACAAGCCAAAGCTTTAAAAAAGATTAAAGATGAGTATAATTTGTTTGATATCTGGAGAATTTATAATCCTAATGAAAGAGATTACACACATTTCTCTAAAGTTCATTTTCTTATTCAAGATTGGATATGATTTGGGTAGATCCAAGTATTATTGATATGATTAAAAAAACAAATATTAACGAAATAGTCTGGACGGATCATAATGGGGTGTTCTGTGAAATAGCCTTTCGTATAGTTAAAGGAGAATCTTTCACTTGGCGCCTGAACAATAATTTGCTCTGTTCTGAAACAAATAAAACCTATATAGAAAATAATATAAAAAACTATTTTAAAGAAAATACTTCAGAAAACATTGATCCATCTATTCTGTGGTGCGCCTTTAAGGCTGTTATAAGAGGTCATTTTATTAAATTACAAAGTCAACTTTATAAGAACATTACCCTATCCTATTTATATACTGAATTAAGAAATACATCTCATATTAACAAACAATCCCCATCCCCTGAAATTTATGAGAAAATATTAGAATTGAAAGAAAATATAAAGCAAAAATTAATAGAAAGAACAGCCAAAAATATGGATAGATTAAAACTCAAATATTATTCCAAAGGTAATCGAGCTGACAAAATGCTATCTCAAAAACTCAGAAAACAGAAAGGACA